AGGTACCCCTGCCCGTACGGGCCAGTCTTGACAGACTCTGGGGTTGTGCGCCCATCTCACTTAAGAGGCCAGGGGCCAGCGCTGTCCGGAGACACTTCCGGGTCACGTGGCCAGCGTGACAAAGCTGCATCTGGCGAGCCAGCGCAGCACACGGAAACGCCGTTTACCTTCCCGCCAGTAAGCGGTCCCTATTTATCTACTTGCACCTGGGGGTGCTTTCGAACTGCTAGGTTGGCAGGCGCTGGGACCGAGCAACGGGAGCGCACCCTGCCGCGGGGATTCGAACCGCCGACCTTTCGATCGGCAAGCCCTAGGCACTGAGGCTTTTACCCACAGCGCCACCCGCGTCCCACGATTAAAGGCATGCTTCACATTAATAGGACATTCCAGATATAAGACAGCCCCGATCCTCCTGAAGAGAGAAGCTGCCATTCATATCCACTGACTGTGTGAAGGCTGGAGAGTGCTGGGGAAATTGACTGCCCCCTTTCCCCAAACTCCTGGCGGGTGGAGAATCCCTGCTTCCATCCCAGTCTCCCTCCGCTAGAGCAGCTTTTTGCCAAAGGGCAAGGGTATAGCTGGCTTCGTCTTTCCGTCCTTGGCAGTTGCGGAGAGGAAAACAGGGAGGAGTGATTATATATATTCTAAATGCAAGCTTTAGCGCAGGTGCACACGTTCTTTTTCTTGCAAAACATGACCCAAGCTCTCCTTTCTTGTTTCCTTCTGTCTTGCAGGTTCTCGGAAAAAGGAGGGCCCACTGCCATTTCCGCAAAAATAAAGGAAACTCAAAACTAATTTATTGTGTATAGAACCCTTTTGGATATGGTAACTCTGAGGCTTAGCGCTGGAATCCTTTAAGGAAGTACATACCTTAAGTCTCTGTGGGAAGGACTCTTGAGGATTTCTGCTGCACTGGGGAGAGGGGGCTGCCACAGCATGACAAGTCTTTGTGTTTGAAGGGAGCAATCATGATTTTTTTCCACGCTTTCATGTAAATTCCTTGCATTAACCTGAAGCCCTTTAAAAAGAAATCTTATTCTGTGCAGGTGGCTAATGCTGCAACTTCACATTACATACATGGACTTTCGAACCTAATTATCTGCAATTTTGGGTGCTCAAACTCTCCATCTGATCTGCCTGCAAGAGTGTGCATCTGTGAACTGCTGACCACTCGCTTGTAAGCGTAGGCCAAAAATGTCCCCCATAACATTGTTCTGTCTCTTTCCAGCTCCCATGCAATACCAGGCTATGCAGAACTTTGAGTTGGGTTTCTTTTGAAGTCTTACCTGCTGAGCAAATATTTCCCCCTCTATTGCTGTCCACATCAGAGCAATAGAGTTGTCCTTTCTGTTGACAGGTTTTTAAGTAAGATTCTCCAGCCAGGTACTGAACCTTAACTTTTGCCTGCCTTCGTAAGCGGCAGTCTTGTTATTTTTGTCCTCAGTTCAGTAGAGCCCACAGACAAGAGTGTCTCTCAACTGCTGGTTTTATTTCAGAGAACAAAAGAGTATGTACATATGTTAATAATGAGTGGCTAAAGACTTTTTAAATATTCCCTGTTTGCTAGTCACACATCTTTCCATTTGCCTCACGTCCTCATCTTGGAACAAGTATGTAACTTGCATTTTAAAAAAAACCAGAAGTACTGTATCTCCCTCCGCCTGCCCGCCCATCCCAATTTCCTTTTCGTTCTGCAACTCTGGTGGCTGTTGGCTGGCTGTTTCACAACATGTTCAATATGTGTTACATAGATGTAAAGGACTGTATAAATTGTAGAGGCACTGCACTGGCAAAGCACTGTACAGTTTGCAAAAATTTTACATAATTCATTTGTGAGAATTAACTTTTAAACAATCGCACTTTTAGGTGTTGATAATAGTGCTTTCAGCTTTTTGTATCTGATTCGATGCCAATTTCTTCTGGTTTTTAATATTACCCCCTCCCTCTAATGAGGTGACTTTAGTTTTTGGCTTGATTTTTCATTTGACTTTTTAGTGAATCTGTTGGTTTTTACTACGTAATCTCTGCCACTCTGCCCCCACCCGCTCCCTCACTTTGGGAATGCAAGCAAACATACTTTGGTGTGTGGTAAATTATAGAGTACAAGAATGCCTCCCGTGTTGGGGAAAAAATCATCTGAGAATTGTGTGTGTTTTCATCTTCTGCACATCCTGTACTTTTTTCTTTGTAAAAACAGGAATACATTTTTTTCTCTTCAATCCTCTGCCTGCTGGGAAACAACACCATGTTTTTAAAGCACAGCAGTGTAACCAGTACAGTATCTCCTGAGAGCTGATACACAGAAATAACTAATGTATAGCATAGTGCCAAAATGCCGCCTTCTCCTTTCAGTTGTGTACTTAGTTTAAAGCTGAATAAATGAATTGTTTGTAAGATCTGTGCGCGCATGGTGTCTTGTTTTTCAGGGGAGAGTTTCTTCAAGATAAGCCCTTTCACCTGAGGATATGAAAGGGGAAAAGCTGTTAGCCCTACTGTGTATCAAATTGGTCCCTAGTAGAAAACATGTCACCTGTCTGCTTCCAGTTGTGCAGCACATCTCTCAGGGAACTTGTTTTTCCACTGGGCAGCATCACCTGCTCTGCAAAAAGCTAATATTTCAGTTGAGCCTAGAAAGGGATCCAATCTGGAGTTGTTTCTAAACCCTTGCAACTTCTTTCTTTTCCAAGTCAGTGTGTGAATGTGAAGCTCAGTGGTAGATCAGCTGCAACATGGCAGAAGGGATATGCATGGCTTGGGAAAAGTGGGTTTTCTCCCTGCCTCACAACAATAAAACTATAGTAGTTGTACAGTAGAACTTGTGCACATCCATTGAAGCTGATTTAGGACAGGTAAAGAAAGGTAAAGGGACCCCTGACCATTAGGTCCAGTTGTGACCGACTCTGGGGTTGCGGCGCTCATCTCGCTTTACTGGCTGAGGGAGCCAGCGTACAGCTTCCGGGTCATGTGGCCAGCATGACTAAGCCGCTTCTGGCGAACCAGAGCAGCACACAGAAATGCCGTTTACCTTCCCGCTGGAGCGATACCTATTTATCTACTTGCACTTTGATGTGCTTTCAAACTGCTAGGTGGGCAGGAGCTGGGACTGAGCAATGGGAGCTCAACCAGTCGCGCAGATTCAAACCGCCAACCTTCTAATCGGCAAGCCCTAGGCTCAGTGGTTTAGACCACAGCACCACCCGTGTCCCTAAGGACAGGTAAACGCACATAAAGCACATAGTTAAACTTTGGAACACTCCCACAGGAGGCAAATGGGCGCCACCAACTTGAATGGCTTTGGAGGAAATGTGGGCTAATTCATGGGAGGTAAAGGCTAACCCTGGCTATGAACCATGATGGCTGTGCATCATGGTTCATAGTCAAAAGTGAAGTTGAAGCCAAGAGGAGTCAGGGTGGCAAATCTCCTCTTGGCTTAGCCAGGCTGGCATGGGAGGGGAGGGGTGAAGGGAAGAGGCTTACTTAGGCTCCTTTGCATCCTTGGCAAGGGGCTGTATCGGTGGCACCCCAGTCCCTTGCACCCTTGACAATCACCGGCGCTCTCTGTCTTCCTTTGCAATTTTTGTGCACCCCTGGGTCTGCCCCCATGGCAGGCCAACCTGACCTAACACCTAGGTATGCCCCCGGTCAAGGGTCTCCTGTTGCTTAGATTTACTGTGTCTAAAAACCAAGGCCACTGAAGTCAAAGAGGGAGCACTGGCAGAACCTCTGCCTTCTGTTTTGACCTTTCTCAGGGCTCTCAGAAGCATTGCCGTGGCAGGAAATATGCGTAGGAGACCCCCCCCAGGCCAGTTGAGAGTCAAAAGTGCCCACCCCCTGTCCCCTTGTGTCATAGGTACAGTGGTACTTCGGGTTACAGACGCTTCAGGTTACAGACTCCGCTAACCCAGAAATAGTACCTCGGGTTAAGAACTTTGCTTCAGGATGAGAACAGAAATTGTGCTCCAGCGGCAGCGGGAGGCCCCATTAGCTAAAGTGGTGCTTCAGGTTAAGAACAATTTCAGGTTAAGAATGGACTTCCGGAACGAATTAAGTACTTAACCTGAGGTACCACTGTACTTGGAATACAACCTCTTTATCTTGTGGTCCTGGATGGAAGTGAACAGGTCTTGAACTCATGTTCTGAACCTGTTTAGGAGCAGCAGAAATGTAGGACAAAGTCCCCACTCTTCCTCGCCCTGTTACTTGGATTTCACAGTACTTTTTCCATAGAACACCTGTGTGCCTGCAGTTCGGCACAGGGGCACAAATGATTCTCATTTGCTTCCCTTCAAAGGTCTGACCCCAGGTGCCACCAGAACCTGGCATTTGGGGGCAGGTGGCAGGGCCCGCTCTCAGTAACTATCCAGGCCTTCCTTCCCCCTTTCATGTTCTTGTCCAGTACTTGGGAGTTAGAGCCATCCTTGAGAGATATCCCACCCTGACTCCAACCCAGCCTCCTGGCGCACCTGAGGATGCCCATTTCAGCCAGGGGAGCATCCCAGAGGACAACCTGCTCAAGAGGAGCCCTCGGGAGCCTTCAATTTGGCTTCAGCTGCCTTAGAGCTCAAAGCCCCCGCTAACCCTGCTGATGGATTTATTTGCATTTACACATCCCACCTTTTTCTCCCAGCAGCAGCACAGGGTGCGGGGAGAGCTGAGCCGCACAGGCTTCTCTCCCCTTCCTCCTCCTGTATCTCTCCCACAAACGCCGAAAACAAATCAGCGATGATGCGCGAGCGGCCTGAATCTGTGCTTTGGCGAAACCGGGTACCAAAAAGCCAAGGCAGCTCTTGGTAAGCAAAAGGCGCCTCCCTGCGCGCCTCGGGCCGCCCGAAGCCTTTCTGACTCGGATACAGAAGCCTCTCTTCTGATTGCCCGGGTCTATTTAGAAAAGAAATGCGAGAGAGAGAGAGAGAAAGAGCGCGTCGCTTCCTCCCAGCCGCTCGCTCAGATGCGCAACCGCTGCGCTGCGTGCCGCGCGTGCGGCTCCGGTGCAGTCGCGCGCACTCCCGCCGAGGTGCGCGCGCGCGCGCTGCCCTCCCTTCCCCTCCCGGCCCTTGTTTTTGGGGTCGTGCGCGAGAGCGGAGGCGGGGTGGGCAAGATCCCTCGGGGGCTGCGCGGCGAGCAAACCGGAGGACCCCCGCCCCTCTGGCCGGGAGCCGCCGTTGCGCATTTGGAGAGCCCCAGCAAAGCGCGCGCCGCCAACCGCGCAGCATCGTGTGCGGGCTTCGCGGTGGCGGCGGCGGCGGGCGACACCCCCTCCCTCCTTTCCCATCTCTCTCTCCATCCCCCCCTCCAATGCACAAGCGAGGTCCATCCTCTCCCGCACGTCGGCGATGACTTCAGCGTCCGCCCGCCGCCTCCGGAGCTGCCCTGGGCAGCCCGGCCGGGAGAAGATGCTCCCCGCTCCCTGCGCGCCGAGGCACAAGGCGAGCGGCGCCCGCTGCTTCCCCGGAGCCGGCGCTGGGTAAGGAGACGCTGCCTGGGGTTGGTGGGTAGGGCGGAAGGTGGGTCGCCCTGGGCGCGCTTCGTGCGTCCTGGCCAGGAGGGATGGCGGGCGATGAGCTCGGCCTCCGCTCTGGCCCGAAGCGCACAGGGCTCTCCTCTCCAACCGGACCCTCAAGGCGCAGCCCGGCGCGTAATGGCGCCACGGAGCGGCCGGGAGCGTCGGGCGCCTCCGCTGCTCCTGCCCGTTGCCGGGGCCTGGGGGGAGAAGCGCGGGAAGGAGCCCACGCGCCGCGGCAGGCGGTGGGGTGGGATTCGCTTCTCCCCGTCGGGGGGCTTTGGAAGGGGTTTGGCGGACTAGGGATGAGGATCCGTTTGTTAATGAGAATTATGACACCTTGAATGGCAGAATGGCGAGTGGGCAAGAGGGTCGTTGCGCAGAGGGGGCCCCCATGGAGAACGGTGGGCCTTTGGCCTGATCCAGCCCGGCTCTTCTTACAGTCTGGAGGTAGTTCTTATTCAATTCTACCCCCACCCCAAAAAGGAATCTGTGCCGCAGGAACTGGCTAAGTCTCTGGAGGCAACCAATTTGGGTCAGGCCTAAAGAGCTTGGGGCACAGCTCCATTTTTCCATCGCTGCATTCTTTTCCTTAGGGATGTTATCTCAGGACACGCTGCTTAACTCTTTTGAGGTCACCTGTCAGAAGCTGCCTTGGGCCTCCTCGAATGGCCATGTCTGTGCCAGGTTACCAAATCGGCAGAGTAGGCACCAAACTATGGGCCCCATGCCGTTTAGGAGCCCTGCGACAACGGATCTAAATAATATTGATTTGATCTTGAAATAAAATTACGGTCAATTATTAGGAGATAATTTACATGGGGCCCCCCGGAGATTTGAACTGCCTAGGGGCCTCCACAGGGCTTAATATGGCACTTGAGTACACATCTGTTCAAAATGTGGCCCTCTTGTTTTTTTTCCTTCTAATCTGGCCCTCAGAACTACCCCCACCCAAATGCTTTTGCCTGACTGCACTGTGTCCTTGCACTCCAACAATCATAGAGTCAACAATCAAGGGACCCAAGGGTCATCTAGTCCAACCCCCTGCAATGCCAAGAATCTCAGCTAAAGCATCCATGACAGATGGCCACCCAACCTCTGCTTGAAAACCTCCAAAGAAGGAGGGTCCACAACCTCCTGAGGGAGTCAGTTCCCCTGTCAAACAGCGCTTACTGTCAGAATCCTGGCAAGTGTAATTTGTTCCCTGCTGCTGAGAGTTGTTAAAAGGTACCCCTGCCCGTACGGGCCAGTCTTGACAGACTCTAGGGTTGTGCGCCCATCTCACTCAAGAGGCCGGGGGCCAGCGCTGTCCGGAGACACTTCCGGGTCACGTGGCCAGCGTGACACCGCTGCTCTGGCGAGCCAGAGCCGCACACGGAAACACCGTTTACCTTCCCGCCAGTAAGCGGTCCCTATTTATCTACTTGCACCCGGGGGTGCTTTCGAACTGCTAGGTTGGCAGGCGCTGGGACCGAGCAACGGGAGCGCACCCCGCCACGGGGATTCGAACCGCCGACCTTTCGATCAGCAAGCCCTAGGCGCTGAGGCTTTTACCCACAGCGCCACCCGCATCCCTACCTGAGAGTTGTTAGGAGACTCTTGTTCCTGGAGAGGGCAGTTTGGCACTGCAGATGCAGGAAAAACAACATGGGAGGCAGCAGGCACTGTGATTCTCCAGCGGTTTGACCCAACCCCCAGAGGCACAGTCCAACAACAACAACAAAAATCCCCTTGCGGAGCCTCAATTCTTCCCCGGGAAGAAGGATTGATTCTTAAACCATTCTGGGAATCTTAGCCCCGTGAGGGAACAGGGGTCTCTTAACACCTCTCGGCACCTTTAACAAACTACAGTTCCCACGGTTTCCTCAGTGGGAGCCACATCTGTTTAAAGAATTTGCTTCTTTAAATGTAAGATGGAGCCAAATTCTTCACTGTAGATGCTGGGAACTGAAACAGGGTCTTTAATTATCTTGTCCCCCCCCCCCAATGCACAGAAACAATCTTTAATGACAAACAATGGTTCCTTCCGCCCTGCCCCCAGAATTAAATAATCAGCAGTCAAAATATTGGGTGTGAACTGTCCGCATTTGATTTTCTTTAACCAGCAAGATACATATGTTACATCAAAAATGTAACAGAGCAGTTCACATAATAGCATAGAATACTGGTTTTAAATAATAGTAATAAATACAGGCTTTAAAAACAGCCAAAAAAGATACTATTTAAAGATAGATAACATCTCTCTGTGTTAAAGCAGCGATTGAGAGCAAATAAAGTTTCAGTACAATTACTCTGTGAGATCTTCTGCAGATGTACAGTGATCGAGTTGGCAGACATAGTTTCCTCTTCATAGCACATCATAGCTGTTAAAAGTACACAGGACAAGATTTAAAGATATTAGCTATCCGGTGTCTGTTGACTTACGTTTGGACATGGTGTGTATTTCTGCTTATACAAACAGGCTTCACCCACCATGGACTTCAAGCTTCTAATGGGAGGCGATTGATTCTGAGGTGCCGGAACCGCAGAGCATTGCTTCCTGTGAGGATGAACCTGACAGGCTGGGCTGAGGCGAAGTGGACAGACCGCTCCAATTCCTCCGCACAGCCACCGCCACCACACCCTCGGGGCAGCAATGACACCTTTTCTTTCCAAGGAGACCTCCAAGACATCATCCACACAGCCACCTTGGTGACGTGCACCTTCCTGTTGGCCGTCATCTTCTGCCTGGGCTCTTACGGCAACCTCATCGTCTTCCTGTCCTTCTTTGACCCGGCCTTCCGGAAGTTCCGCACCAACTTTGACTTCATGATCCTCAACCTGTCCTTCTGCGACCTCTTCATCTGCGGAGTGACTGCCCCCATGTTCACCTTTGCCCTGTTCCTGGACTCGGCGGCGGGCATCCCTGACGCTTTCTGCTTCACCTTCCACCTCACCAGCTCCGGTTTCATCATCATGTCCCTCAAGACAGTGGCCGTCATCGCCCTTCACCGGCTCCGCATGGTCTTGGGCAAGCAGCCCAACCGGACGGCCTCTTTCCCTTGCACCCTTTTGCTCACCTTGGCCTTGTGGTCCATGAGCTTCACCCTTGCGACGCTGGCCACCATGAGGACCCAGAAATCCCGCCTCTGCCTCCCCATCTCCAGCCTGGTCATCGGCGAGGGGAAGGTAGTCCCTTACTTGTACGTCATCGACTTCATCTGTTGCGTGGTGGTGGTGTCCGTCTCCTACATCATGATCGCCCAGGCCTTGAGGAAGAACGCCCAGGTGTGCAAATGTCCCCCCATCATCACAGTCGATGCATCCAGGCCTCCGCCGTTGATCGGACCCCTTGCTGCTGGGTGCGCTGACGGCGTGCAGTGCGCCGTGCCCGCCCTCTACAGAAACCAAAACTACAACAAGCTGCAGCACATCCAAACCCACACGTACACAAAGAACCTCAGCCAGCTGCCCGCAACTGCGGCCAGCAAGTTCCAGCTGGTGTCGACCGTGAACTTGTCGACAGCCAAGGACTCGAAGGCCGTGGTGACGTGTGTCGTCATTGTCCTCTCTGTGTTAGTCTGCTGCCTCCCTCTCGGCATCTCCCTGGTGCAGGATGTTCTGTCCCGGAACAGCGGCTTCATCCTCTACCAGTTCGAACTGTGCGGCTTCACCCTCATCTTCTTCAAGTCCGGGCTGAACCCTTTCATATATTCCCGGAACAGCGCGGGGCTGAGAAGGAGGGTCCTTTGGTGCCTCCAGTACTTCGCCCTCGTCTTCTTCTGCTGCAAGCAGAAGACGCGGCTCCGCGCCGTGGGCAAAGGGAGCCTGGAGGCCAACCGCAACAAGTCGTCCCACCACGAGACCAACTCCGCTTACATGCTGTCTCCGAAGCCTCAGAAGAAGTTTGTGGACCAGGCCTGCGGCCCGAGTCACTCCAAGGAGAGCATGCTGAGCCCAAAGGCTTCCGCCGGCCGCCAGCATTACGCAGCCCACAGCAGCTCTACTCCTATGAACACTCGCATCGAACCTTATTACAGCATCTATAACAGCTGCCCTTCCCAGGAGGTGAGCACTCCCAACAGCCTGCAGCCCACAAACTCTCCCTTTGGATTCGCCAACTCCTACATCGCCATGCACTATCACGCCATGACGGACGTGGTGAGGGATTTCGACAGTACTTCTGCTAAGCAGATACCGGTTCCCTCGGTGTAGCTACCGGGAGCTGAGACTCTTTGACGTCCGACCGCAGTGACGGCCGACCTTTTTCTTTGTGTGTGTGTGTGCCCATGCGGCAAATATGCCCCCACGGGTCATCCAAAGCATGATTTCATGCCCCTCTCGTACGCATCGCAGCAGGGATAGCCGCGGTGGTGCCCTTCAGAAGCTGGACTACAACTCCCATCCACACTGGCCAGGGATGATGGGAGTTGTAGTCAAGCAACAACTAGAGGGTGCAAGGTTGGCTCTAAAGCATTTTTGCCTTCAGTCTGCTGAGCAGCTGGCGCACGAAGGGACAGGAGTAGCTATGCCTCAGCCAGGCTTCTGAGCTCTCCTGTCCCGGCCTGCTTCTGATATTTGATTTCGCAGGTTGGCCACATGTTTTCCTACTATCTCTCTAGTTCTCTTTCCCCCCCATCTTTCAAGATTTCTGGTTACTAGTCCTCAAGGCTCAGTGGGTGTTATTCCCCCACCCTGCCCAAAGTATTCCCTTCACCACCCTCAAACACAATGCTGCTTTTTCTGTCAAAAGAGCAGACAACCATGAAATCACCTGTGGCAGCTCTGCTTTAAGACTGGACCGGGTATTGTTTTACCGTTTTTGTGTGTGTGTGGTATCCTCATGAAAGTGCACGGTTTTAAGCATTGGCAGAGCTTTCTAAAAGTTTCTACTCCGAATTGTGTGTATATATATATTACTGGTTTGATGCGGAACCTTGCTTTTCTATTTATTTATTGAAGAGTGTTTAACTGTGCTGGTTGGCAAAGCATGTGGAGTGGCAAACCCTATCCCCAAACCAGGATTGGGACCAAGATTGAGAGGGCTTTCAGCGGCCCCTGCATCGGTGGACCCCCTACTGCTGATGCCTATTCTGGACCTCCTTTTAATTTAATTCCCCCCCCCCCAGTGCAGTGGGCTTCCCAGCTGTGGCAGCAACCATATCACTTCCTTTTCCCCCCATCCCATAGTCTCTGTGTTAACTCAACTTCTGGGGTATTGTGGGAGTGGGTGGTGGAATGGGACACCCAAGATCAGGCATAGGCAAACTCGGCCCGCCATATATTTTTTGGCCTACAACTCCCATGATCCTTAGCTAACAGGACCAGTGGTCAGGGAGGATAGGAATTGTAGTCCCAAAACATCTGGAGGGCTGAGTTTGCCTATGCCTGCCCAAGACGGTGGCTGGATGCTGCTCAGCACTACCATCGTAATTATTATTATTATTATTTAATTAAAAGTTATCAGAAGGTGGGCTCCTTAGAGTGTCAGGGCCATAGCTTCTGTGAAAGGATACAGCCCATGCGCCGAATCCTCTCCTATCCCCAGTTGTATATATATACTCTGTCAGGACCAGAGTTTATTTTACAGTTTTGCTTCGCTGCGTTTCGAAAGAATTTCGAAAGCTACACGCACTGGGAAAACTTTACAGAAAGTGTTTTTAAATCCTTGGGTTTACTGTTAACAAGGAAATGTCAACTTTTATGTATGTTGAGGACATGAGATGCCTTCTTCTCAGGCAAGTCAGTCTTGTAAATAATTCCAAGTTACTAGTCCACAGCGTTTTTGTGTTCGCTGATTTGTCCGAAACCTTAGCGCGCTTTGATTCGTGAATGACATGAAAGGCAACCACACTTACGATTTTTTGTCACTGGCAACAAAGCACATGGCTATTTACAAGCCCCTTTTAAAATATCTCTCTGCACCCCCACCCCTTCTAATATAGGCCTGTTCTTATCCTCCAGTCAGAACAGTCTCTGGGGGATTGTGTTACTTTGGCAGAGCGTTCAGTCCCACCTCTTAGCAATGCAACTGCAGCACATGAGGAATTCTGCTTGCTTGTTTTAACTCTAGATATGGTGAGGGGTTGGGCACGCACATGCAATTTTAAACTCTTGCAAATCACGAAGGCTAGAAAGTAACCAAACTCCCTGCCTGCCCTCTCTCTCCCCCCCCCCCGCCCCCCATTAAAAGTTGAGATTTCAGGGGCCCAATTTCCGCACTTCTCATTCTTGCATAATGTAAATGCTCTTTGCAAGAGCCCACATCTCTTCTTGTTACATGATTATATGTGTCTTTTGCAATAACTGTCTCATAATTGCAGACCAATTGTATTATGCGAGCATCGGTGCTTATAAAAGGACCATTCTAGAAAAAAATATCAAGGACTGATTTAATTTTTAATGGTTTTTTTTGCTAGATAATCATAGGCACCGTAAGACCTAACACAAGCAAAACTGAGTGCAGTATGTGAATGATGGTTGTGCAGAATCTGTTAGGGAAGTAATATTTTGCTAAAATATTTCACGTTAGTCATTTTCTCATTCCCAAAACATTAGAGGAAGAACCTTGCTGTTAGCCCTTGTGTTTCTTTGGTATTTTAGGGTGTGTGTATTTTTTTATATATAAAAAATCTCACATGCTGTCATGATCATAAAGGGATATCTAAGGATACGGATCAAACTTTTCCTTCTATTCTGTGCCAATTCGTACTTAATGTGTTCTCCTACAATAAAGGAGTCTCCGTGTTCTGTGATGTTTTGACCAACCCCCGATATTGTTTGTCTTTTTTAAATGATGGTATAAGAAAAAGGGACACGGGTGGCGCTGTGGGTAAAAGCCTCAGCGCCTAGGGCTTGCCGATCGAAAGGTCGGCGGTTCGAATCCCCGCGGCGGGGTGCGCTCCCGCTGCTCGGTCCCAGCGCCTGCCAACCTAGCAGTTCGAAAGCACCCCCGGGTGCAAGTAGATAAATAGGGACCGCTTACTGGCGGGAAGGTAAACGGCGTTTCCGTGTGCTGCGCTGGCTCACCAGATGCAGCTTTGTCACGCTGGCCACGTGACCCGGAAGTGTCTGCGGACAGCGCTGGCCCCCGGCCTCTTGAGTGAGATGGGCGCACAACCCTAGAGTCGGACACGACTGGCCCGTACGGGCAGGGGTACCTTTACCTTTACCTTTTATTGGCCACAATACACATCTATCATGTGGTTTCTTGAGAAATGCAGTGTTTCGATATGTTTCCCACAGCCTCCAACCAGGTGCGATGCAATTTGAAAGCGTAAGCCACACGGAAGACATTCATTCCCCCTCTCTTCACCCTCTGGTGTGGACAGGCAGCGGCCGACTTGGAAACCCACCCACAAGCCGTACTGATGTATATCATAATAAAGGTAAAGTTAAAGGTACCCCTGACAGTTAAGTCCATTCATGGACGACTCTGGGGTTGCGGCGCTCATCTCGCTTTATTGGCCGAGGGAGCCAGCGTTTGTCCACAGACAGCTTCCGGCTCATGTGGCCAGCATGACTAAGCCGCTACTGGCGAACCAGAGCAGCGCACGGAAACGCCGTTTACCTTCCCGCCGGAGCGGTACCTATTTATCTACTTGCACTTTGACGTGCTTTTGAACTGCTAGGTGGGCAGGAGCAGGGCCGAGCCACGGGAGCTCACCGCGTCACGGGGATTCAAACCGCCAACCTTCTGATCGGTAAGCCCTAGGCTCTGTGGTTTATCATAATAACCATGTACAAATGTGACTTGAAATGCAGTTGTGGGTGTGTGTTGAATGACCCCGCTGTGTTTTAAGCCAGTTATGTGAACCGCAGCTGAGTTAATGGACAAAGGTGGTATTTATTTATTTCCCAAGATTTCTACACCGCTTGGTTCAAAAACCAAACCAAAGACCTCTAAGCAGCTTACAAAGATTGAACTGGGGGGGCTTGCTGCTTCCTAGCTCAGCCTCTTTCTTTCAATGAGGTAGTAAAAACAACAACAACCAAGCTATTTTCTGGGTTGTACCTTTTCAGACCTCTTCAGGTGAGGGCTCACAGGACTGAACTCCCAACAAATCATCTACACACAGAGAAAACTTCTAGCCTATTTGCCTCCCTGATATCCAGGGATACACCAGGGTATGGTGGAATGTTCTGTCGTGAGTCCCCTTTCTGTCCAGTACTGTCCAGACACCCATTTTACCTCCTCCATCTGTCGTTTCTGAGAACTAGGCCACTTGCCTTCGATGGGGGGAGAACTGTGCCAATACATACGTTTGCCGACCAAGTTTGTCCCCCACCCGTTTGCAGTCTGCATTTGCAAGCCTACATTACAAAAGATCTTAGCTGTACACAGAAATAAATAACCAGAACATGCATGTACATTGGTCCACAGGGACGCACAAGTACCCAGTAGCCAAGGTTACCATTGATTTGGGATAATGCTTCTGATTAATTTGGCATAGTGCAGAAGAGTCCTCTAAAAAGCAGCATGTTTTCGGTTTTTTATCTCACTAAAGCCTCTCTGCCCACTGTCCCTGTTCTAATAACTAGGACTGGGTGATCTATTGACATACAGTACCGTCCAAAACTGGTCCATATCGTGATACTAGGTTTAGTAATTTTTGACCTGGCAATATATTGTGAAACTGTGTGTGTGCCTGTGCTATGCAAAAATCACAATGTGGGGAAAACCCATGAAGCCAGCTAATGCTTCTATATAGCTGCATCCCTATTTCAGTGATGTATCAGTGTATCGCGATGTTTAGCTGGTGATATATTGCGATGTTGAAAACCAGATACTGCCCAGCCTTACTAATAATTGCCATAGGAAAATCTTCCAGGCTCACTTGGATTGCCAAACAAAGACACCAGCAAAACAGCAGCTTGTAGGCCTGATTTTTATTGTTGCAACAAGGCTTCCAGCCACCACACAGAAGAAGCAGGAAGAAGCCCAGAACAAAGGATGGCTCCTTTATTTTTTATAGAAGTTTCCCTTTTTACCCACAACACCCTTAGTGAAGCATCATACATACATCATATATACATCACAACAATGTCATAATCTGGGAGGGGTCTTCTGGCAGAAACCTGATCTTCAGGTTTGCCCCCATCCCTCCTGAAACATACTAGGAGTTGAGTGTTGATTTCATGCTTTTTATTTCAGCTCATGGTAAACACTGAGTGAGTGCTTTCCCCCAAAACCTCTGGCTATATATACATTATTTACACAATGGGTCCCGTGTGATTGGCTGATTCAACTCCCCTCCTGGAGCCAGATTGGGCAGTTCCTGCAGACCAATCAGGTTGCTCCCTTCTAGGATCCTACCTGCCTATTGTTCTATGATCCAAGATCAGCACATAACACCTCCCTTGACTTCCACTTCACACCCATTAAGTCGAGTATGTACATGTTACTGTTCTCCGGTCAAGTTAAGCACACCCTTTTGTCTTGGCCAAGCTCCTAATAAACTGAGGTTGGGTTTCCTATTGTTTCTGAAATGGCTACCTGTCAGGCACTCAGGGGCCAGGATGCCAGCGATTATCACCCTGGCAAGGAGACTGCTGAGTACCTGGTCTCGGGGTTCAGAAATTATGGCTGCCCCTCCCCACGTCCCAGGCTCCCCACTTGGTAGCCATTTCCTTCCCGAGCAGAACAAAGTTAAAGGTAAAGGTACCCCTGCCCGTGCGGGCCAGTCTTGACAGACTCTGGGGTTGTGCGCCCATCTCACTCTATAGGCCGGGGGCCAGCGCTGTCCGCAGACACTTCCGGGTCACGTGGCCAGCGTGACAAAGCTGCATCTGGCGAGCCAGCGCAGCACACGGAAACGCCGCTTACCTTCCCGCCAGTAAGCGGTCCCTATTTATCTACTTGCACCCGGGGGTGCTTTCGAACTGCTAGGTTGGCAGGCGCTGGGACCGAGCAGCGGGAGCGCACCCCGCCGCGGGGATTCGAACCGCCGACCTTTCGATCGGCAAGCCCTAGGCGCTGTGGCTTTGGAACGATGCAAATCCTATAAGGGAGCAATTTTATATGGCTTTCTAAATTTTTCCCCATTTGCAGGAGTGATTGTGTTGGTTTTGGTAGACGGTGTGTGTGTGTGTGTGTGTATGATGTCCGCAGGATGGGCAACCCCTCCCCCCAGGAAAAAACCTTTCCCTAAATTCCGGTAACATAACCAAATGTTTAAACACTTGGCTGCCATTTGACAGTATTTGATCAAGTCTTTTTCTTAGCAACAGCCCCAAGCCAACATCTCAGCGTGCACCAGTCCAGAAACGTTTGCGTTCCTCATCCATGCGCCCTCGATTTCCCACGTGCCTCCTCCTCTTCCTAGCACAGCCCATTTCCCTCTGTCAAAGCCATCGGCTCGTTTGTCGTTTTCAGAACAGCGGTCAGCTGGCTCCAGAAGAGCTTTTGTTTGTGTTCCTCTGGGCTCCACTTCAAGTAGGTCTTCCTTTTCAGCAGCTTCCGGAGCTTGCTGAATTTCTGCGGGATGCTGTTGGGCGGCAGGTCTTCCAGCACAACCATAATGAGAGAGTCCTCGTTTTCGCTAAGGACCCGATGTTCGGCAAAGAACAGCTCATACTGACACCAGCAACTGTTGACAAAGCTGGGCGACAGCACAAAGAGAACTTTGTGGCTGTTCTCAATGCAGTGGAAAATGTTCCTAACAACCGGGTGCCCTGGCGTGAAGTCTCTCTCGTGGTAACATACTCTAAACTCGAGGGCTTCCAGTTTTTCCAGCAGGGTCTCTTTAGCCCACAGCGCATCGTTTTCGCTGTATGAGATAAATGCGTCATACGCTTTGTGTTCTGGCCTCTTGTATTGTTTCCTTTTCGCCATGCACCAGTACCATCCCATCTTAATGTACCAGACGCCGTCAAAACGCCAGCAAAGGCCTGTTAAGAGGGACATTGTCAAGATGGCCACACAAGCCGTAATTGCCATTTGAAGTCCCAGAGAACAACGCAGCATCGTTAGGTTGCTGTTTTCCACCGAAAGGCCCCGTTTCTTGAGCGGAAAGCTGCACAAAAGCTCCTCTTGGCCATTTATCTGCAGCTGCCGGCTCGCAAGGTACGTGTTCGCAAACCAATACAAGTCACAGCTGCAGAAGAAATGTTTCCCTTGAAGGGTTAAGACGTTCAGGTTCGTCAACCGGCCAAAGGTCTCTTCCATAATAATGGTGATGGCATTGTTGCTTATGTCCAACTCGAGCAAAGATTGGGGGAGAGACCCCGGTTGCAAAAAAGAGATCTTGTTTCCTGACAGATTCAGATATTTGAGTTCTGGCAGAAATACTCCTGTGTGGTCCTGCAGTTCTGTAATTAAATTGTGGCTTGCGTCAAGGCTGGTGAGGTGGTGAGAATGGTTTAGATTCAGATGCGTTATGAGGTTTCTAGAAACATTAAGGAATTCCAGCTCTTGTGGCGCCCTCCATAAATGGAAGACAGGTATTTGATTTTTACTGATATCCAGTTCTTTTAAGGAGTCTGGAAGATATGCAGGTGGAAAAGCCTTTATTTTATTGCTTGGAATCTTAAGCACTGTCAAATTAGGGAAGATGTTAAGATTAGCTATCTCTTGGATGTTACTGTTGCTTAAATCTAGGTTCTGCAATGAAGTTGGCGGCTGGGGAAAACCATGCATGGGGTTGTTGCTCAGGTCTAGAAAGAGAAGCTTCCTCATGGTGTTTGCAAACCATTCTGGAAGTTCTACGATGGAGCAGTTTGACATTACGAGACGCCTCCCTTCCCTGGGGAGGCTTTCGATGGGGCT